CGGTTTCTAATTTTAGCTTTACAAGTAGCTCAAAGACAGACAAAAATACTACCATCCTGAACTATGTTCTGCCACACCACCAATCCCAGAATATGGGAAGACTCCTCCTTTATAAGCAGGGTTATCATCTGTTGGTCTCCAAGTGGCCACCACATAAATAGAATTGAAATATGTGATTAAAAATGACAGACTCTCTGAAAAACCAGTTAAACCATGTAGCTGCTTTTTAAGCCAGACACTGTCTGGCCCTTGTAACCTAAAGATCTACCGTATTTTTTGGTGTATAAGACATACTCCCCACCCAAAAAAAAGTGGACAGAAATGTCTGTGCATCTTATACAGCGAATGTTGATGAAGCCCTGCCCACTCGCTGGCCCCCACCCTTCTGCCTCTGCCTCCCAGCAATTTGCCTCCTTGCAACAAACAGCAAACAGCCTGGTCAGCTTCAGCACAGCCTGATTAGCATAAGCAGCTGATTGTCAGTTGGATCGGCCTCCCGACTATCAGCTGTTTAAGGCTGCAGGGATCGCCTATTGCCGCCTCTGCGTGCGCCATTTTCAGCCTCCGCATGCCCCATTTTTGGCCTGTTCCAATCTCCACCACCTGGAACAGGCTGAAAATGGGGTGCGTGGAAGCAGCAATAGGCAATCCCTGCAGCCTGAAACAACTGATCGTCGGGATGCCGATCCAACCGACGATCAGCTGCTTGTGCTAATCAGGCTGTGCTGAAGCTGACCAGGCTGTTTGCTGTTTGCTGCAAGGAGGCAAATTGCTGGGAGGCAGAGGCAGATATTTTTTTCCCTCCCCAAAAGCTAAGTACTTCGGACCATCTTATAGTCCGAAAAATACGGTAGCTTATTCTTGAAAAGAAAAAGTCCATGCTTAGTGAAGACAATATAAAAACATTTTTAAAAACCTACCAGCACTAGTAAAGATCTCATAGCAAGGGTCACAATTTATGTGACTGGTAAGATCATTAGCAGCTGATCTCTGTGTATATACAGGGTTCTGAAATTATACTGAAAGGCTTAATATGCAAAGGATTTTTTTTCTTTCTAAGTTAAACAGTACGACTGGCTGCCCTTTTACAATCAAAATCCCAGCTTGGATATATAAAGTATAGTATATAAAGTCAGAAAGTATTTGGAAATTGGAATGGTGTTATTCCTTTTTTTTTAGCACTGTAAGTGCAAATACCCATAAATTGGCCTCTTTCAATATAAACCACAAATAATATACCCCATGTTTGGGTTCATACAATCTGCTAAGAAAATAGAGGAATTCTGGCTTAGCATGATTAGTAAACTTGGCTCATTGGTTCCAAGTTTTGTGGCTTGTCTTTCGTGTATTATGTTGTGTGTGTAAACAATCCTTGTATTCTAAGGATTTCAGTATGGTGCTGAGATAATTTCTGATATATTAGTTTAGAACTTTTAAATATTCCTTAGATTTATAATCAGCATCTTTTCTGTAAAGGAGGGGTGTGAAACTCGTGTTGTCATGGCGTCGCCACATGATGTATCACGACTTTTCCCCTTTGCCAAACCAGGCGTAGGCATGGCCAGCACGTGATACATGCGGCTCACAGGCCACAAGTTTGAAAGCCCTGCTGTAAAGTAAACCAGTAACCCTCCCATTTTATAGATGGGTAAACTGAGGTCAAAAGAAACTGGCTTCCACCCCAAGCTTGACAAAAGCAAAATTCAAAGACTTCTTGATCTACAGCAACGATGCCACATTAGCTTGGTGGGGGGAAAAATAAATAAAAGGTAATTGCCTCCACATTTTCTTTATGGATTTCCCTAAAGCTTTCTCTTCTGCTGAAAAGTGCCCTGCCTTGTTTTGATTCTGAAGCACATTTGTTATTTTTTTTTTCCTGTGGAAGCTGTCAGGATCCTCCTTTTGCTCGAGGTGTGGAAAATATCATTTTAGGAAAATATGATCTGACCTTCATAAGAATACCTTGCAAACATTGGCCGGTCTGCTTTGAGTCATGCTGTGACTTCTCATGGTTTCCCCCCTCCCTCCTCCTTTTTATTTTGCTCAGCTGCCATCAGGTTGAGAAATAACCAGCTCTTCACCTGCGTGACTCATCTGCAGATTATCAACGAAGCTTCAAATGTTCCCTGGTGCCATCAAGGCTTCCATCAGCAAGGGCCCGGAGGCGAGAAAGGCATTCATGGGATAATGGAGAAAGGAAAGAACACGGAAGCTGGCAGGAAGATTGAAAGGTCATGAAACTGCACTGGCTTTGGAAGAATGCAGGTTGGGGACAAGTTGGGGCCATCACCTTCGTATCTATGACGTAACATACAAGTTAGACTGGCTTCTCCAGTCATGTCGCTCTTGATGTGCTGGGTCTAAAAAAACACTATTTCAAAGCCTGTGTGGGTAAAAATACGGGCTGTAATTTCTGCCCATCCTATCGCAGCAATGCACAGGTAATCCTTGACCTGTGACCATAATGGAGCCTTGCTAAGCAAGGCGATTACTGAGATGTGCCCCATTTTATTTTTATTTTTGGGTTAAGAAAATCACTGCTGTTGAGAAGCAACTCATGTGGTTAAACAAATCTGGCTTCTTCCATTGACTTTGTCAGAAACCAGCTGGAAATGTTCAAACAACACTGGGACTGTGCAACCTTCATTAAAGACATGCCTGTTGCCAAGCGCCTGAATTTTAATCATGTGATGCATGAGGATGCTGCAATGGTCACAAAAGTACGAGAATCGGTCATAATTCACTTTTCAGTGCTGTTGTAATTTTGAAGTCACTAAATGAGTGGTTGTAAGTCCAAGGACTACCTGTATTTCAGCCCACAAGAAGCCAAATCAATCAATGGGATGGTGACTTGTCTAAAATTATCCAGTAAGTTGCTTCACTGAAGGATTTGAATCTGAATCTCCCCCAATCCAATTTCAGCATCTCAGCTGCTAAATTGGCTTTCTTCCAAATGAAGCCCCCTTCCCCCACCCCAAATGTACCATAGGTGTAAAAACACCCCGTTTCTGTTGGAGAAAAGCTAGCATGGTGCAGAGGGAAACTCCTTTAGCCAGTATCACTTTCAGATTTAAAAAAGAGCTGAGAAAGCTCTCTACAGTCCAGTTTTTGTGTTGGTGGTTTTTCTTTAGTTCTTTTGAGAAACTTTAGGGGGTTTTTTTGTTAAGTGTTTTTTCTTTAGTTCTTTCGAGAAACCTTCAGAGCCACGACTAGAGCATTCTATGGTGATGCTCACCCATTTTTACAAATGCAGTGGAACCTCAGGTCATGACCAAAATCCATTCCAGAACTTCAGTCGCAAACTGATTTGGTCATGACAGGAAACAAGACTGTGCATGTATGGACAAAAAAAAAAAAAAAAAGGCATGGCAGGGAAAATTGCCAGGCCTGTATTTGATCGTCACCTGAGGATCTGTTTGCGACCAGATGCAAAACTTTTCCGAAATTTTTGGTCGTCATCCGATTTGGTTGTGGACAGAAACGTTCATGACCCGAGGTTCCACTGTATGCATTTTTTGCAAAAGAAATATATCAAGCATACTAGATATTTTGTGTTAGGAATCTGTCCACCAATTAGTTGGGTTGGCAATATACAGTATAAATCAACAATGTATGTTTGTAGCTTTAAGACAAAGTCACTGTATTGATTTGTACTATGTTCCAATTGGTGGATTGTATTGCGAATTGCGGTAAGAGGGAGCTACAGATCATGGCTTGCTCTGACATTTTGTATCTCTGACATTCTGTCTCTGACATTCTATTGCTATCTAAGCTGTGCTTATACTTTGATATCTTTGTTTACTGTACATGACAAAGGCAACCGGTAAGACTTTGTAATTGGATATTCTTTGGACTGTAAAACATATATGACCTGGACCGTTTATTGAACTGTGCTATTTCTTAAAGTAAACTTTAACTCAATTCACTGTAGCTGTGTGTGGCTGAATAATTATTCGTAACTACTCTCATAAACGTTTCCATGTGCATATCCTTGTTACTCAAGGGTTATTCTGTACATATCATAACATTTTGCATGTCTGTTGGGTGTGCTTATTTAAAAAAAAGGCTGAATTGCCACAGTATGTATGACATTGTAGGATCTGGGAGCTGCAAGCAACTGTAAATTGTGCTCAGAGCTGAATGAAAAAATGGAGGCCAGGCAGCTGCCTCTTGAGAGCAATTTTCCAATCATGGTGTCTAGACTCGGCGTATAGCTGAAGACTCTAGTTTAGCAGATGGTACAGTAGCGTTACTGGACTTGAACAGCGGTGTAGAAGTTTACACAGGGTTTTTGTTTTGCTCAGGAAACGCTTGCCAGAGAAGTGAGCACCCTTACAAGATTGCACCTCTTCTTCTCAACTGATCATGGAGCTGCATGAGGAGCCCGCTTCAAATATAGAAATCATACCCACAGAAGAACATACCTGTAGTTCAGGGTTGAACTCTGAAATTATTGCTGCTGAGTTTGCATGTTACATGGATGTTGGGTAATGAAATGTCTGCACAACGTCTGCACCAAACAACGAAATTCGGAGAGCACAAGAGCTCTATTGAAACGTTATGTCACCACTGGAAGTGCTGCTAAACAATTTGGCTCTGGACCTCACCAATCAGCAAAGATGTACTTCTTATTTAACGTTCCTTGCATCACACGTAGCAAAGCAGCCAAAACAAAGAAACAAACAATAATGCACCTTTCTCTCTCACCTCCATTAAAAGGATTTTCTGAGAAGTGAGACATACATATGTCAAAAGTCTGAACAAAGCAAAATTATATTCAGCTTCAGGAAATTATTAAAAGCAGAATTGTTTAAGGAGCCTTTGATTTATAGATGTCATCATCTATTTTTACTGTATTTTAAAAATGATCTGTTTTACTGTTATGTAATTGTTCTCCGGGTGATTTATTATGATGATTTGCTAAGAATGTCTTGATTGCAGTGGGCAAGAAACTGAATGCATATTCTTTTTCTACAAAAAATTATTTTTTATCAGGCTAGACAACAAAGACATGATCATGGTATTAGGAAAAGCTTACAATAGAAAGGGGGAAAAAAAGCACAGCTTAACCCTCAGTCCAAATCCCATTTGCTTCATTCCTTTTCTTTTAAGTCGACTCAGGAAACGCTTCCTTAGAATCAGTCAGGAAAATAATGTTATCTGAAAGCACAAACAATAAGAGACACCATCACACATTTGAAGATGTATCAACACAAGAAGCTGAGTTAAGACTACAATATACGTATATAGATATATATATCGCTGGATTTGGTGAGCAGCAACTTCATTTTTTCAGATTTATCTTTTCCATCTTGCTTTACAGACTATTTGTATAGGTAGTCCTCGACTTAACAACAGTTTGTTTAGTGACCGAAGTTACAATGGCACTGAGTGACTTACGATCGTTTTTCAAACTTACAACTATTGCAGTCCTGGGATCATGTAATCACCTTTTAAGACCTTTTGACAAGCAAAGTCAATAGGGAAGCCAGATTCACTTATTAATCATGTTACTAATTTAACACAAAAATGGGGCAAACTTAACAACTGCCTCACTCAGCAACAGAAATTTGGGGCTCAGTTGCGATCATAAGTTGAGGACTACCTGTACTTGAAGATACTGGAATTTTTTACATGCACCATATCAACTTGCGTGAGGATCACTCCCTGCTTAGTGGTATCTAGCATGCTAGTTCCTATAAGCCATCTAAGAGCCAGTGAAATAATGGTAATTATGGGATTAGAAGTCCCAACTTCAAGTGCCTACTCCACTGTTAAGCTCATGGGCACCTTCTCTTATCCATCAGTCTTTGAACAGAGACTTAAAAGTAGCTATGGAGGTTTTTGTTAAAGGGAGAATAATGCATGCCATCTTGTGCTCTTTAAAAATAATAGAAACGTAGCAGAAAATACTTATATCTTGGGTTTTAGATTCTGGCAGTGGTTTGCTCTCAGAGCTTGCTATTTAGTTTCCGAACATTTCGTTAACAGATTAGGTAACATCACCAGTGGGACTTTGTTAAAAATACCTTGTTCTATTCCTCTTTAGCTTATGTATGTCTTGTGTACTGGTGTGGTCATCCGCCATGCCAACAGTTGCCACACACATGAATTTACTGAAGCCTGGTATTCTACAAAAGCATATTAAGAAGCATATTAATTTAGATCCAGCATATGAACACATAAGAAGCCAGACCATTCAAACGTCTAATCGATAACGGAACCGACCAACTTTTCAGCAGTTGAAAATAATGCCAAACATTAATGCAACCAACTGACCACACCAGCACAACGAGACATATATAAGCTAAAGAGGAATAGAACACGACATTTTTAACAAAGTCCCACTTGATGTTACCTTGCATGGTAAAAAAATGTTCAGAGCCTAAATGAGAAGCTTGGAGAAAAAACCACTGTCAAAATAGAGATGTAATAGTCTTCTTCAAGTCAAGTTCACTTCTAAATGTGTATGTCCATGAACACATTACATCATTAAGATGGTCCATAAAGGGCATCACCAGTCTGTCATTTTTGGACTTGAAGAGACATACTTTCATGGGAAGTGTTGGCTGTGAAAATGGCAGAGCTTATAGAAATGGCTACATTGATTTGTTTGGTAAAGGAAAGAACAACAATGACTTTTACAAAGGACCTGAAACCTTTTATTGACTTTGCACTGAGAATGGATAAAAATGAACTGTTGATTTCTGGATTTATTGATTAAAAAGGGTTCTATATGGGAAGAAGGGAATTATGTTACATAATTTGGTAAGGCAGAAATAGGGTTAACTGTTTGTAATTGCTACAAAGAAGATTGGATGTCATTTTTAAAAATATTTTTCTTGGTTCACTTCTACTTTTCTCTCATTTTTTTTCTTTGTATTATTTTTAACATTTTTGTAGCTTTTAACTTTGTAAAAATATTCAATACGTTTTTAAAAACCTTTCCTTCCTTCTCCTGTTTTTAAAGTCTCTCTCTTGTAACACTAAGCCCAGCAGAGAGAAAATGCAGGAAGAGGAATCAATGGCCCAGGCAGACATTCAAGTATTTCCTGCTTCATGCCTGTACCTGAACTTTTAGCCACAGCTTACTTTCCCTTACAAAGCAAACACAACATTCTTTACAAGATAGAAAGTGACAGGGTTGTCTGTCGGTTCTCAGACAAACAATCTTGCCTCTCTTGTATCTATCAGATAAGTTCGGCTTCCACCTCCATAGTCTCCAACCCAGTATGGTAGGGGAGGATGAGGGCAGTAATTTAAGATGGAACATTGTATTAAGAACTTTGTGCTCCTGCAGACATTTTAAAGAAGAGCATCCAAGAGAGACATCTAGTGGAAGAAATGGGGATTCAAGGAGACCTAATCCTCTAAATTTAAGAGCCTCCAGGAAGCAGTGCAGGATCCACCTTCACTTTTAGCCCATGCATTTCAAAACATCTTACCTGCAATGACTGTTGTGGCTTGCCGCCTCACGTTGTTTTTATCTATATATTCGCCATAATCTATCTTTCCTTCCACGTAGATCCGAGCACTGTCAAGAACCAAACATACAAATAATAGCATATTAATTGCAGCTCTTTATTTTCATTCTTCTTTCTATATTTTCCTGTATTTATTCACGTTCCGTCTTTATTATTTTTACAATTTTCCTCCTTTTTTCCTCATAACAACAACACTGTGAGGTACATTGGGTTGAGTGATGGCTGAAAGTCACTCAACTGCCTTTCATGGCTAAAGTGGGACTTGAACTCACAGTCTCCCACTGTCTAAATCAGTGGTGGCTAACCTTTTTGGGCTCCTGTGCCAAAAATTGTGCAAGCGCTTGCACGCTCACGTGCTCCCCCACGCCCCCTATGCATGCGCGCACAACTCACCCACCCACATTTCCTTCCCCTTACCTGCACTGCACCTCACAACTGATTTTCGGCAGGTTTGAGGCCCTTTTCGGCCTCCCAAAGGCTTGAGGAAGGCTTCTGCAGGCTGAAAACTAGCCCTGTTTTGTCACTTCCAGTATTTTCAGAAAAAAACAGGAAGTGACGAAACGGGGCTAGTTTTCAACCTGCAAAACCTGCAGAAGCCTTCCTCAAGCCTTTGGGAAGTCGAAAACCTGCCGAAAATCAGCTGTGAGGTGTGCACATGCGCAGTGAGGTAAGTTTACCTGCAGCTCGCGTGCTGGCACAAATGGCATGCCATAGTTTTGCCATCACGAGTCTAGCTTGAAGCCTTAACCACTAGACCAAACTGGCTCCCAGCTCTTTATTATAGTTAAGGATCAGAATTAAGCATACTTCGGCCCATTTCTTCTGCAGCTGGATCAATCCGGGGCTCTGTTATCAACTGCAGAAGCCTTCAGGAAAGCCTTGCTGGCCTTGCCTGCTGAAGAAATTCCTGAAGGCCTCTGACATCGAAAAGGAGGCCAGGGGCAACATACGTAAGTGAGGGAGTTAGTGAACGACATCTCCCCCCCTGAAAATAAGACCTGGTGTCTTTTTTATTGGCAGAACATATAAGGCAGGGTCTTACTTTTGGGGAAACACGATATGTATCCACCTAATTTCCTAACTGCCCCCCTGGCGGGGGGTATTTTTAAAAAAATGAAATGATAGAGAGCTGTGGCCTATTTTTTCTTCTTACCACCAGCCCCAATAAGAAAAAAAAAACCTTTGCTCTACGGTATTGTTTCTTAACCTTGGCAACTTTAAGGCAGGTGGACTTCAACTCCCAGAATTCCCCAGCCAGCTATGCTAAAAGTAAATGCAACTCATAATCTGTTCATTTCAAGTCTGTCTCCAGCGCACAGAGCAGTACCAAGGACCAGAGTACAATAGAAAACAGCACACCCAAAAGAAATAAGATACAGCCACCTTTTGAGTTTATCATTGGGAAGATGATTAAGAGTTTCAAGAAAGGCCAGCTCCTCCCAGACAGCATTAGGCAAGACATGATTTATGAACCTGGAATGCTAGAAATAAACTCTTATTTGAATGGAGCATGTTGGAAAAAGTTCACCCAACACCTGCATCTCAGTTCAACTCACCCTTTCTTCACAAACCGATAAGCTAAGTCTCTCAGCCCTGGCCTGAACACGGAAACTCTGTGCCATGTAGTCTTCTGTGTAACATCATCTAGGTCATAAAACATAGAAAAGATTTTTAGCAACAACCAGAGATCCTGCATATCTCCCGAGTGTTGGCTGTAATAGCGATGGGCAACCAGACCCCAGTTTGCAACTCCAAAATATCCGAGATTTGGTGGCATGGTTATTCAGATCATGCGGCCTCCCTTGCAATCTGGCCCACCCTCAAGGATGGCACACATTTGGTCGTGCACAATATCAGTGGCATCACTATAATATCTAACAGTGGCATCAGTACAATACATGGAGTGGCTGTGAGTTAGGCCCCTTTGTATCCACAAGTTTTATCATTCTGGATGAGGTTACACTAGCCCAGACAGACCAGGTTCATTAACTTAGGAGTCCTCTCGGATTCATGGCTCCTGCTCAAAGAACAGGCAGCAGCTGTAGGGTGGACGGCCTTAGGCCAATTCTATGTTCTGTGCCAGTTACTTCCCTCCTTGAACAGGGAGGGTCTCTGTGAAGTAATTCATGTCCTGGTCATATCCTGATTGCAATGGCCTCTACTTGTGGCTACCCTTGAAAAGTGTCTGGAAGCTTCAGCTGGTGCAGAATGCAGCTATGTGAGCCATACTAAGTGCCCGAAGAAAGGCACATATAACACCTCTGTTCCATGAACTGCACTGAATCCCAATTTGCTTGAGTCCAATTCAAGATGTTGGTTGTCACCTATACAGCCCTACAAGGCATAGGCCAGGTTACCTACGGAATTAGCTTCACACACACACACACCCCACCACCACATCAGTCTATTCCACTCTGCAGAGCCCTTCAAAGAATTTCAACTAGCAGGATCTAGGAAGAAAGCCCTCTCTACCGCTGCCCCTCCATTGAGGAAAGTCCTGTTCTCAGACGTAAGGAAAGCCTCTGATCTCTCAGCCTTTCACAAAGGGGTCAACATTTGGCTGTGTGGCCTTGCATAGGGAATACAGAGATCCACACAACTTTGGGGCTGGGCTAGCCCCATAAGAACCCCTCTCCCCATCTGTATTAACCATTGCTTGGAATTTTTCACCTTTTAAAATTTGATATTATTGGCTTTTCTCATTAGTTTCCCAGAAGCAAATAGTGGAAGTGGCTCAGTTCACCAAAACTGTACTTTATGATCTTTCAGTGAGTAAGTGGGCTGCAGGGGAAAAAAAACCAATCTGTCTAAATAATATTTTTAGTAAACCCAAGGACCTCCCACTTTACAATCAGGAGCAGCTTTATCAATTCGTTGCTAGGACAAGACTCCAAGACTTTGAAAACCGTTAGCAGGCGGTGGCAAGAAGAGGTGGTGTTAAAAATGAATGCTAAAAGTTAAGAATTGAGAGCTTGTGATCATATATAATTTTGAGCCCAAGAATCTAAGAGAAATGCTATTTGGAGAGCTTTCCAAAATGGCAAGGCATTTAATTATCCCTAGCAGAAGAAAAGAATATACTGTCCTTTTTTTCCTGCTATATTGGGCTCAAGGGACACTACAGTTGTGCTGGTAAGTTTACATACCCTGGCAGAATTTATGATTTCTTGGCTATTTTTCAGAGAAAATGAATGATAACACAATTTTTTTTTCTTTCACTCATGGTTAGTGGTTGGCTGAAGCCATTTATTATCAATCAACTGTGTTTTCTTTTTTAAAATCATAATGACAACATAAACTACCCAAATGACGCTGATCAAAAGTTTACATACCCCAGTTCTTAATACTGTGTATTGCCTCCTTTAACATCAACGACACCTTGAAGTCTTTTGTGGTATGTGTGGATGAGGCTATCTTCTCAGATGGTAAAGCTGCCCATTCTTCCTGGCAAAAAGCCTCCAGTTGCTGTAAATTCTTGGGCTGCCTTACATGAACTGCACGTTTAAGATCTCCCCAGAGTGGTTCAATTATATTGAGGTCAGGAGACTGAGATGGCCACTCCAGAACCTTCACTTTATTCTGCTGTAGCAATGACAGTTCGACTTGGCCTTGTGTTGAGGATCATTGTCATGTTGGAATGTCCAAGGACGTCCCGTGCGCAGCTTCCTGACTGATGAATGCAAATTTTCCTCCAGTAACTTTTGATAACATACTGCATTCACCTTGCCATCAATTCTAACCAGGAGTGGGATTCAACCGGCATTACTACCAGTTTTGTGCCTGCTGCTCTTCAGAGCTATCGGCTTTATAGAAACAGGCAGAACCGGTAGCATCCCACCCCTGATTCTAACCAACTTTCCTGTGCCTTTGTAGCTTACACATCCCCAAAACATCAGCAATCCACCTCAGTGTTTCACAGTAGGAATGGGTACTTTTCATCATAGGCCTTGTTGACTTCTCTCCAAATGTAGCATTTATGGTAGTGGTCAAAAAGCTCACTTTTGGTGTCATCACTCCAAATGACTTTGTGCCAGAAGGTTTGAGGCTTGTTCCTGGTGTTGTTTGGCGTATTGTAAGCAGGATACTTTGTGGCATCTGCATAGTAGTGGCTTTCTTCTGGCGACTCGACCATGCAACCCATCTTTCTTCCAGTGCCTCCTTATTGTACATCTTGAAACAGCCACACTACATACTTTCAGAGTCTCGTGTATTTCACCTGAAGTTATCTGTGGGTTTTTCTTTGCACCCTGAACAATTTTCCTGGCAGCTGTGGCTGAAATTTTAGTTGGTCTACCTGACCGTGGTTTGGTTTCAACAGAACCCCTTATTTTCCACTTCTTGATTAACGTTTGAACACTTTATATCCCTTTCCTGTTTTATACAGTTCAAGTACCTTTTCCCACAGATCCTTTGACAATTCTTTTGCTTTCCCCATGACTCAGAAGCCAGAAACATCAGTACAGCACTGGATGAAAGATGCAAGGGTCTGTCTGGAGTCCAGGAACTCATTGACCTTTTATACACACAAATTACAAGCAAACAGACCACAGGTGAGGATGGTTACCTTTAATAGCCATTCAAACCCCTTTGTGCCAACCTGTGTGCATGTTATCAGGCCAAAATCACCAGGGTATGTAAACTTTTGATCAGGGTTATTTGGGTAGTTTCTGTTGTCATTATGATTTAAAAAGAGTAAACACAGTTGATTGATAATAAATGGCTTCAGCCACACACTAACCATGAGTGAAAGAAAAGTTTTTGTGTTATTCATATTGTCTGAAAAATGGTCAAGAAATCATAAATACTGCCAGGGTATGTAAACTTATGAGTACAACTGTAATTAGAGATTAATGTGTGTTTATGTGTGTGTATGTATATGTATATGTATATGTATATATATATATATAATTTATTTATTTTCTGTATATGTAGACATGGGAAGAGAACATAGATGCATGCATATCACTGACATCACAACACAAATAGCATACAGTCTCAAAGGAGACTGAGCCCATACATAATTCAGTTTAATGCCAAAACAGTCAACAAGCTACTGCACCACACACTTACCTGCTTGAACCACCTCACTGTCTCCCGATCGCCACATCTCATTGGTGGCTAGGCTGAAAATTGTGACAGGGTTTTTTCCTTCCATTTGTCTCATGACCGGATCCTGTCCTACTCGACCAAGCAGTTGGATACGATTTAAAGCTAAACAAAACATCAACAGCAGGTGGTAAAGAAGAATGCATAGAAGATGCATTGTGACTACATGACCCTAAGAAGCCAGACCTCCATTCTTTGTCCCTTGAGAAGCTACTTACATCTTTCTAGGGTTGTTGAGATCTCAGATTCATGTCTTACAAACTGGCGCATCACCTAGAGAAAGAAAATACATAAGGCAGCCATTCCAATTGCTGACATCGTTCCATGGAGAGAATTTTCTCTCAACTACATTTAGATTGTAGTTCCCATCCAGCACAGCCACTCTGACTTTGAGAGTTGCAATTCCCCCATATGGGGGGAAGGCTGCAAGAGAACTTTCCCCGAGTGAGCCTTACACAACTGGTAAAAACAGGCAGGTGAATAGGAAAACACATAACATGTTGCTGTTTTATATAGGTGATCAGTCACATTATCCCCATATTAGCAGCTGTCATCCATGCTGATATATTTACTAACACACACACACACATACACACAAAAGGATTAATCAAAAATCCTGAGCAGAGTTCTCATACTTTAGCAATGAGCCTATGAAATAATAGGACAGGCAAATATCTGCTTTAGGTAGCTAGATTGGAAAACAGGAGCCTCCCAAATTAAAAGCCCTTATTCAGGAAATAAGAGCAACCTCTTCAGCCAACAGTTGCTACCCAATGTCAGAAGGCAGGCAGGTTAGTTTTTTTTAATGGACATTTAAAATCTTGCAGAAAATGTGCACAGTAGAGGAAAATCATTGGACAGATTTATAACCAATGTTAAACCATAGTTTAGTTTCATCTGTTTGTTGAAGAATCCAATATAGGCTTTCTTCACTCACAAAGCCATAAACCAGGACCTACAAATCACAGCAACTAGGTTCATGCACTATTCTAAGCCCTCAAGTAACTAAACAAACCACATTATAGCATTTGTGAACCAGATCTTGATCTGAATTTTATTTTAGAGGAAGATACATAGTTCCTCTTTCTTATTCAAACTTTTCTTCTTCCTTAATTTCTGAACCAGTTTATTTCAAATTCAGTTCTTCTAGTTAGACTAGCTCCTGATGATTATGAAGAGGTGGGGAGAGGGGCCTCATACTAATGCCTCCAAGTTTATTCCCTCATTGTTGCCATCACTAATGACTGCTTTTCCTCATCTTCCTCCTCACTATCACCTATTTATATCTGGCAGAGAGCCAGATATAAATAGCCAGCAGCTGTTACTGTTGCCTTTTTTCAAATTACTATTTATTTACTATGCTACTTCTCTGGGCCAGAAGAAGGGAATGAGTTAATGAGTAGCATGCAAATTTATTTTTTACAAGTTCAATTCTCATCATCATCATTTAAAGATCCCATAATCCCTTGCAAGGTGGAGTCTGGGCAACTGAATGGAGCTAGCAGAGTGTTTTAATGGCCCAGGTGCCTTTCCTGTCGCCAATGCAGAGTTTTGTCAGGCAGATATATTCTTAGTGTGCCCAGAGAGAGAAATATCTGTCTCTGCCTAGGATCAAACTCACAACCTCCTGATTGTGAGGCGAGAGCACCACTTCTAGGCCACCGCACCACTTCACAAGATCAGTTGTCATACATTATGAAAAATATTAAGAGAAGACTGAAGCAGACTCTTCCCTGATTCTCAGGGATATAACCCACTGAGCCTTATAAGATTCTGTTAAAATACACCAATGTTTTTTCAAACTTGGAAACTTTAAGTTGTGTAGACTTAAACTCTCAAAATATCCCAGACAGCATGAAATTAAAGCCCACGCAAAGTTTGAAAAACACTTATAGACTATTTTAATAAAGTGTGTTCTAGTCATCCTGTGGGGAGGGGGAACCTCCTGATCTGCATTTCCTTGAATGACTGACATTATCCAACCTCCCCACTCCCATCCCTCTATAACTCCAAATCCATTCAGCTATTAGACATACTGTTCAAAGATGGGAGAGACAGTCCAACACATAAAGCCCAATGATCATACATAGTTTTCATAAAAGCATGCCTCCCAAATCACAAAATGGAATACCTGAAATAATGGCCTGTGGAACATTGTTGCTGTTTCATTTGTTGATTACTTTTGGAGATGTTCTGAAAGACAAAGAAAATTATTAAATCAGTCCATCGCCAAGTAAGTTTAATGTTGGGAATATGCAAAGATTGACCATGGATCATTAATTCATTACTTCACAACCTCATATCCTTTCGTTGCATTAAACCATTACCCCTATCATCTTCTATCAATGCTTCAACTAGTATTATCCAGGGAGAGAAGTAAATTGAAGAAAAAATGCAGTTCCTTATGACTTTCTTCTGCTAACCTAGGACTGGACTTAGATAAGTCTCCATGAATGAACTTGATTCAAAAATACTTGGCAGAATAGTTTATTCATTACAGTAGCGTCCTGTGCAGCTGAGCTTCATGGCCTGGTTTTCATTTCTGCATCTATTTTTTTAAAAAAGATACTCAGGTGCAAAAATAGAACACAAGGGAAAAGAAACAAGAAATGAAAGAAGAAAAAGAGTCACCAAGAAATTGCAGTGCATCAATCCAATTCCATATAGAGGTGGGCAGAGAGATCAGAAATAATTTATCAATCACTAGCTGAGCTCATGCATTGTTCCAAGTAATAATTTGTTTTGCTTTCACTTCATCCATTGTATGAACCAAACATCACACTAAAGTATAACCTTATGTTTTATAACTCACATAGGTTATGTAACAGCCCAGTCAGTCATGGGCAAATAAGCCTGAAGTCATGTAGTACAGTATAAGTTTTTGGCTTGCTCCAGTTGATATGCCGAGTTATATACTACAGAAAATTACAAAGTTATATCTTATAAAAAATCATTTTGGGGACCAGCATCAGAATTAATAATAGTCTCCTTACAGAAAAGCCTTTGAATAGGGGAAAATGACTTGATGGCACACAATCAAAGAGCCATCATGATTTGATAAAGAAAAATAACTCAAAAAAGTAGATCCCTGTGCAAGATGGAAGACTGCCAAAAAGTATCTAATATTTGTATGCAGGATAAGGATTCCTCCCTCGTACCAAGATTTCCAACAGAGCTGGAAAGACATTTTTGATGGGGACGGATTGCAGCCTCATTCAGTACCGAGCAAAGATACGAGACAAAAATAGTATAATCAGGTTAGGAGAAATGTTAAATATGGGCTATCTTTGTGACTTAGTAATCCTTCATCCATAGTTCATATCTTAGCAAATAGTATTCTTTGAAATCATTTTCTTGGTGAAATAAAAAAAAAATTAGGCAGAGACTTGCGAAATCAAGCGAAGCTTAAAGGAAAATAAGGTTGTAGGGTTCAAAAGAGAGGCGGGAAAAAAGCGAAACCTCCCGGCGGTGGATTCTTTCCCTCGTTACCACGTGGTCTACCTTCTATGCCCTCGTCCCCTCCAGACGCCTTCAGCCAGCATGCCGGCTGGGCAGGATAGGCTTTGCAATCCTACATATCAAGACGACACCCCATTTGGGGGGTTATATTGACACCTACTGGGGAAGCATTCGCTGGAGACGAGCCCTAAAACTTCATCGGGATGCCGGATTAGGAAGTCGCAAGCAATATTATTTAAGAAGTTGTCCCGTTCCCTCCCGCCGCTCGCTTAGAAACGGGCGCCGACTGCTTTGCTCGGATGTTACTCACTTGTTTGCTTTCCAGCGGACGCGATCAAATGCCTCGGCGCGCCCAGCCAACACACGAGAAACCCTCACGTGACTTCCAGACGCTTCCTGTATATGTACCCAAAGGGAAAGCTGCTCGCCATAGAGATGCCGTGGCCTAGAGCGGTCTTGGGACCGTAGAAAAGCGAGATCGCCGGCGGCTTCCGTTTACACCGGAAGTTCGAGCTGTGATCCGCCTTTTTTTAACCGTTGCTGAATTTAACTCCCTTATTCAGCAGCGCATCTTGAGAGGGAAAGTGCCTCTCTCCCCCTCCCTCCTTCCTCTTTTCTCTCCCTCCTCCCCCTCCCCTCCCTCCTTCCTCTTTTCTTTCCCTTCTCCCCCTCCCTCCCCTCCCTCCTTCCCTCTCCCCCTCCCTCTCTAGCCCTCCGTTTTCTCTCCCTTCTCCCCCTCCCCTCCCTCCTCTCCCTGTCCATCCCTCCCCTCTCCCCCCTTCTCTCCCTCTCTCCATCCCTTCTCTCTCCCCTCCCTCCCTCTTTTCTCTCCCTCCTCCCCCTCCCTCCCTCCTCTTTTCTTTCCCTTCTCCCCCTCCCTCCCCTCCCTCCTTCTTCCCTC